CAGAGGGAGAAGCAGGCTCCTTGCTGAGCAGGGAGCCCGATGCGGGACTCGATCCAGGGACTCCAGGATCATGATCTGAGCCGAAGGCAGCCGCTCAACCAACTGAGCCACCCAGGCGCCCCGGCCTCAAGATTCTTAAAAGTTTAGGGGAGGGAGAGATTAGATCACTACAGGTACACACTATCTTCATTCTTCAAGTGTTTTTAAACCTTGCCAATTAACAGGGTCTTCCAGACATTTAAAAAATATGAATGCTAAGTAGTGAATTAAGGGAAAGTTTCAAAATTATTAGATTGAATCCTTTTTCATCCATTTTCTGGAGTAAATTTATAAACTTATAAATACACGTAACAAGTTACAAAATCACAGCAAAGGTAAAAATGCAGAACTGGAAGAATGCTGCCAACTGCAAAGGGAGACAATTAACTACAATTTACTTATAATCCAGGGGAAATATCTGGAAAATATATTCCCATATTACAAAGGAACCACTATTTTTTTTTTAAGACTTTATTTATATGACAGAGAGAGAGAGGGAGAGAGAGCACAAGCAGGGGGAGTAGGAGAGGGAGAAGCAGGCTCTCTGCTGAACAGGGAGCCCAATGCAGGGCCCCATCCCAGGACCCTGGGATCATGACCTGAGCCCAAGGCAGACGCTTAACGACTGAGCCACCCAGGCGCCCCAGGAACCACTATTTTAAAAATCCCTGGTAAATTGCAGTCAAGCCTTTGACCAAGAACTAAGTAAGTAAGTGAATTTTTAATTCTGTTTGTCTAAAATAGACATAAACACTACAAAGAAATATATATTCCTAAGGGTTTTTTTTTTTTAAGCAAGACTATAGAATAATATATTCACCAGGCTTGCAACTAAGTAACAAATAGATGCACAAGGTCAGAGATTGAGAGGGAATCTACAAATTTTTAAATCATGTTAGAGTAATGAAATTATGGGAAATTTATTTTCTGTCTCAAAGTGCTCTCTGTGACACCATCTTATTTCTAATGAAAAAGTTATGATCACTAAATTTAAAAATGTACACTGCTTTCAATTTCCCCACTCCTATTATTGTTTTCAAAAATATTTTATTCTAAACTGTATATACACTGGCAAATGAACAATTCAGCAATTGTCAGATAACTTTGGAGAAGACATCCAGATTGGAACATCAAAAGCAAATCTTCAGCTTTAAGTCAATAGAGGTTTTTCAAAAACTGAATTAGCCTTTACTTTTTATCACATCTTGCGTAACAAGGTCATTGGAAAAAAGACTGTTAGTAACTTGAAGCTACTTTCCAAATAGGCTTGTATATTCTCTTACGTGTCTTATATTCATTTTAAGAGCTGGTATTAGATGGGAAATAATTTTAAACTCTTTGATATTTAATCCTTCTAAAAAAACAGTGCAAACAAGACTTAGAGGTGTTTATTTCCTTATATTTACCCTTGAGCTCTGCCTGGTTTTATTATGGCTGTGTAAATAAAAGAAACAATTTTCTCCCAAAGATAACTGCTTAAGTCATTTACTGTCAATTACTTTATCTTTCCTGCGTTAATTAGATAAACAACATATGGAGTTTATAAAACAATTAGCCCGGAGTTTTACCAGCCAGTGTGTGAAAACCCAAGCATAATTGATATAGGAACTGCATTAGGTGCTTTTAGCATTACTGCCACCTGAGCAACTCATCCTGAATTTCAGCAGGACTATTTGCCTTTTTAATCAAGGTGAAGAGGTTAAATAGTCTCTCAAATTACTTTTGCATACAACCCATAACAGGCCTCGCATTGAGATAACATGATAAAAATATTTATTTCCATAGAAACAGAACCATGTCGATACCTGTTTCAGTCGTCTCCATTTAGCGCGTCGATTCTGAAACCAGGTTTTAACCTACAGGAAAGAGAGAAAGAAAACTTGCCACGAACCCAAGCGACCTGGGGAGTAACGGAGAAGCTGCCGGGCGGCCGTCGAGCCGGCCAGAGCTCCGGGCGGTAGACAGCGCGACGCGGCACGCCCGAGCGCACGGCTGGCGACACGTCTGTCTTCCGCCCCGCGACCCCCCGCCTCTGGAATCTGCCCCGAGCCCGCAGGCGCGCTCACCTGTCTCTCGCTGAGCTGCAGCATCTTGGCCAGACGTTTCCTCTCGGGCGGAGAGAGGTATTTCTGGGTCTCAAACTTCTTCTCCAGCTCGATGGTCTGGTCGTTGGAGAACCTCACCTGGCCGCCTTTCCTTTTATGCAGAGGCCTCTGCAAGAAAGGGCTCCAGAGCAGGGGTTTGCCTGCGGGCAGCGAGAGCGGCGGTTAGTGACAGCCCTGGAGCGGCCGGGCCCTGGGGAGTAGGGGACGCAGAAGGACACTCAACCAGACAAGTTCACATACAGCCACCCACAAGGACCCAGTACGTTCCCACCAAGACACGTGCACGCCCAGGGCCACACACCTACACTGCGTATGCACACAGACCGCCCTTGTACGCTCAGACGCGCACGGACGGCCATCACAGGCACAGCTGATTTCAAACGCACAAATCTTTTGATCCCCAAAAGAAAACCCACTATAAATCGAGCCTAAAATACCACGACACTCTTTTAACAAGTCACTCTCGAATTTATACAGAACTGTTTGCGCCTCTAGGGCCTGTCCCTTGGTGAGCCGCACTTTCCAAATGCCCGAGTGTGTGTCTGTTGGGGAGGAACCGGGCTGTTACCCTCCTTGGGGCGTTCCGGCCAGGCGCCGCCGGCTGGAGCCTGCTCGGGAGGCCCTCGGGGCCCGGGCGCCGACATTAGGCCGCTCGCTCGTGGAGCTTCCAATCCTGGCTCCAGGGCGCTGCGGCCTCCTCTGATTTCACACCCGGCGGCGGGGGCGGCCAGTTAAAGCTACCCCGTGGGCTATGGCAACATTTCCGTCAATGTGTTTCCTGTTGGTCTATCTCGAAAAGCCCTTTGCTTCCTCCTGCGCGGTCCCAGCAGTAACCCAAGGAAACCCAGGGCGCGCTCTGTGAAAACGTCTGCCCCAGGCCCGGCCCGGCCCGGCCGAGGGTCCCGCTCCCGCCCCAGCAGGCGAACAGAGCCACGCCGAGGCCACCGCACCAAACCCTCGAAGCTGGAATCAAATATACAGTAACTTTAAAAAAAAAAAAAAAAAAGAGCTACAATATAATCCCCTATCAGATCTTAACGATGAGAAAGGAAGGTAGAGGGCTGAGCTAGAGGCCGCGTCATAAACATGAACATGTCTTTATTTCCCCCGGGGCTTCAGATGCCAGAGCCGCCAAGGGCCACCCGGAGCGCGAGTCACCGTTGGTTTATTTCTTAGGCCGAGCGCTGAGGGGACAAGCCCCGGGAATACCAATCATATGCCCTAGGTGTCCTGGCTGCCTTTCCTACTCCAAAGACTTGTCAGTCAGTCAGTCCGTCCGTCCGTCCGTCCGTCGGTCTGCAGGCCTGCCCCCAAACACTTTGAAAGCTGGCATTGTTGGTTTTTTTTCCCCCAGATTTTGCTTACGTCAGGCTTCAGACTAGTGCAAAACAGCTTCGGGGGGGGGAAAAAAAGGAAGCAACTGGTTATTTTAGCTGCCATAAAGTCACATCCCACACAGAGGAAATGAACAATATCAGAAAAACGGATCCCGGCTATCAGAAGTCGAGTGTTTCCTGAATTTGTCTGTATTGAGGATGTCGATAAAATAATCAGCAGCGTGCACTACTCCGGGGGAAGGGTCTGCTTCATGCAGCCAGGAAAACACTTAACAGCTTCTGAAACCAGATTTACTCCTATCGAGAACTCAAGATTTCCTGTATGAACGGAAAGGGTCAGGCTCTTTCACTGCACAAGCTTGTTGAACCAGGTCCAGCCTCGTAACCGCCGGGGCCCAGCAGCTATCCCTGCCCAGCAGGACCGGCCCGGGGCGCCTCGGCACTCCCTTCCCCGCCCCTCCAGCTAAGGGGACCCCACCACCCCGAGCGACGCGCGCGCCCCGGGGCTGCCTTCGGCCGCCAGCCCCCGCGGCAGTGCCAGAGGTCTCGCGCGGGTCCGCGCGCCCCGACGCCTGCAAGGTGCAGGAAAACCAATCTGAGTCATGGTGCGGTCAGCCCCGGCCGCGCGCCACTGGGGCCCGCGCCTCCCGTCCCCGCGCGCGCCCGAGAACCGCTTTTCGATCGCTTTTGCCACAACTTTCTATTGCCTCCCCCTCCGCCCCCGCCGCCTCCTGGACGCTGCCACCTGCCGGGTGGCGCCTTCCTCGCCGCCGCCGCGGCTCGGCCCCGCCATGACCCCGGCCGCCTTACCCAGGGGGTCGTGGCGGAGCAGGGCGTGCGTGTAGTCGTTCACCGTCCGCGGGAAGGGGTACAGCGGGCCCCCGAAGCCGCCGGGTCCGTAGGCGGCGGCCAGCGCGGCGGCGGAGTGGTGCGAGAAGGCGGGGTGGATCGGCGTGGGCTCGTACACCGGGGTCCGGTAGGAGGACACGAGGCTGGTGAAGGAGGAGTTGGGGGACGGCAGAGTGGGGGCGGGGGTGGGCGCGGCGGGCCCGCGGCCCAGGATGTCCTCGATGTAGAACGGCGTCGGGTGCGCCGGCTGCAGCAGCGGCGTGGGCGCATACAGCGGCACCCCCACAGCGCCCGCCGCCGCCGGCCCGGGGTGTGGGTACTGCATGGCTCCGCTGCGCTCCGGCCCCTCGGAGAGCTGGCGGCCCGCGCCGCGGCGCTACATTTATCCGCGCTCCGCGCTCCCGGCGATAGGCTCTGCCGGCCACGGGGTGGGGCCGCGCTCTCTGGCCCCTTCCTGCCGCCCATCCCTGCGGCCAATGGCGCGGAGCCCCGGGAGCCGCCTCCCGCCCCCACCCTCGGCCCGCCCCCGCCGGCCGAGCTCCCGCCCCCCGGGACGCGCTCGCTCTCAGGCTCCTGGGACCCTGCGCCCCGGTGCCCGGCCGCCGCCGTCGCTCGGGGCTCCAGGCACCCTGGCCCGGAAAGCCCTCGAAGGAAGACCAGGGTCACGTCCGTCGTGGGGAGACACGAGGAAAGTAGCGCCTGGAACACGGACTCAAATAGTTCCAGCTCCTGCCGGGAGGCAACTCTGCCGAAACTCGGGGGGCACTGATCCAGGCCCGGGCCCAGGGTGGCAGCAGCCGGCCCCAGGCGCGGGGCAGCTAGACTGGAGCCTGGCAGGCGTAGAGGCCACCGGCAGAGCCGCGCCTTCGCAGGCCTGAGAGTAGCGCTGCCTGGAGTAACGGTGTCACTGGCTGTTGCCCGGGGCGTCTCCGGAGCTCGTAGCGGGAGCGGGCCCTGGGTTCCTGGGGCAGCTCCAAAGAGAGAAATCCAGCCCTTAGCTACGTCCCAGTTGGGGTAAGGACGACTAATCTCAGGTGCTCCGGACTCGTGGCCGCTCCAGCCCATTTCATTTGTGGGCTCCCCGCACTCAGCCACTTCCGTGAGGACGCTGGCAGAAGCCGCTCCGGGAAGGAATCAGGGGAAAACCTGGGTCTTACGGTGCCAGGTAACCGCCCCGATGGGGGTTGCTATGTGTCCCCTATCCCCGGGTCCTGGGGGTCGCAGCTGCGCGCAGCACCGCTTTCCCGTTTTGCACGTGTTTTCTATTGAATCCGTGGCGCTACCCCCTTGTGGCCTCGGCTCTGTGCAGCTCCCCTCGCCTGAGGGGCAAGGGGGCATTTTCTTGATTGACGCCCTCCTGCGGTCGTCACACCTCGCGGTGAGCAGTTTCTGCTAAGGTCCTCCATTAATCGTGGAAATACACATTTCCCAGTTTTTTCTCTTGAGGTGTTTTTTTTTATTATTTACATCTTGGAACTATTTCTCCGACTAAAGCGGGGTCGCAGACGAAAGAAGAGTGGCCTGGAAGCCGGCTGGCCTGAGTTCGAGTTTCACTGCGCACATTTCTGTTGAGCAACTACTGTGTGCCACCAGTGAACAAGACAGATGTAGTTCCTGTCTTCACGGAGGCAGGAAACAAATTTTAATGCTGTGTCTTACGTGTGTGCTAGGAAGGAGAAGTACATAATGATCCGAAACCTAATAACCAGGGGACGTCACCTAGTTGGGGGAGGGGGCGTGTTAAGGAAGGGAAAGTATTCTCCAAGGAAGTGATGTTTGAAAAATGAGAAATTGTCAAAGAACGTAGAGAGGGACGAATATTCAAGGAATAGCGTGTGAGTGTTGTCAATACAACTTTGGTCAAGTCATCCTCCCTGAGCTTTCTGAAACATTTGAAACTTAGCCTAAAGGCCCCTAATCTTTTGGGGGTGGAGTCGTGCATCTTTCAGAATCTGATGACAGACAAACACAGGGAGTGTAATAGGCCATCATTTGAGTTAAAAAGTTAGGAAAGGGTAAGGATATTTATCTGTGCTTTTGTTCTATTGGGTAAACTATCTCTGGAAGACGACACAAAAAACTAATAACATCGGCTGTCTATGAAGAGAGGTGGAGTTGGAGGGAGAACTTGCTGTATACTCTGTGAATATTTGGAGAATTGAACCATGTGGATGTGTGACCTATTCATAGTATAAGCAGGTCCTTGAAGAAGTGGCTGATTCTAGGTCTGGGGCAGGAAAAGTACAAGGTGAGCTCAAGGTGTCTTGTGCTAGAAACCACAGGAGAGAGACCGCCCTGATTCATCTTCCATGGGCCAAATTTGGGGTGGTTTAAGTATCAAAAGCACATTTTGGATTATAACACATTGAATGTAACACTTCATAGTCTCACTCTCCATAGTGATGCTCAGAGAGATAGGGATGGTGGATGGTAAAGCTGCAAGGATGCCTGCTAACAAATGTAAAAAACTTGATAAAATTTAAAAAATGTAATAATTCAACCATCAATTGAGGGGCGTCTGGGTGGCTCAGTCAGTTAAGTGTCAGCCTTCGGCTCAGGTCATGATCTCAGGGTCCTGGGATCAAGCCCCACATGGGCTCTCTGCTCAGCGGGGAGCCTGCTTCTCCCTCTCACTCTCCCTCTGTACTCTCTTTCTCAAATAAATAAATAAAATCTTTAAAAAACAAAAAAAAAGAACCATCGAGTGAAACATTGTTGAGGATGAGGATTTCCGAAATCTCTCATAGTATCACACCAATTGATTAGATTCTGGATTTTTTTTAAAAAAAGCTATAAAAGACATTTGGGCAGCTAATAGGGAAAAACTGGAAATGAATTGCAGGTTAGATGACATTAGTAAATTAATGTTCATTGTGTTACATGTGATACTGGTATTGTGGGTAAAATGTCATTCTTGGAAGGTGCAGACTGAAGTAGGAGTGAGGGTCTTGACATCTGCAACTTTCAAATAGTTCAACACATACACACAACATATATATATACACAAACCATTATACACACACATACAGATAAACAAGGAGATAAAGGAAATTAGAAAATTATTCTTCGGTGAATTTAGGTGAAGAGTATACTGATGTTCATTGTACTAGTTTCAGCTTCTCTGTAGATTTGAAATTTTCCAATATAAAAACTTTGTGAAGTATGATTTTAGATATTAAAAAATGAAAGCAGTCTCATTTTTTAAGGTAAAAATTATTTGAATTTTTTGTGAAGTCTGCATACAAGCTCAGGTAGTACATTGTCCCTGGAAGCCATCCATGGAGGGCTGTTTGCAAATCATTGGTCCTTCTCTGGCCTGGTCTGGTGTTGTGCCCATTCCACCAGTCATAATTCTCATCCCCTGGCCTGATGGAGAAGTCAGGCAGGTGCTGGGAGACTGTGAAAGTCTAGTGTGTTCTTCTGTGTACCAAGGACAGAGACAAGATTTGGGGACAAAGAAAGGATAGTTGCTATCTGAAGCTCAAAGGAGCCTTCAAGAGTTATGTTTGGGTCTTCAAAGATTGGGACCTCAGTGAACTAAGCAGGTGTCTGTGATTATTGTTTTCTCACAAAATGTCTCTCCCTCATATTTGTTTTTCTTCTTTTCCTGCCCCTTCCACCTAGCAAGCAATTGAGACGATCACTCCAATTCATATAATGCCTTTACAGTAAATCACTAGCCAGCCATTATGCTCCATCTTCAAAAATAGTATGGGTTTATAGTTTATTCTGTGCATGACTCAGCCACCAGCCAAAAAAAAAAAATCTAAATCTACAAACCTTCCAAAAATAAATATTAAAATGCTAGGAAAATAATCACTAATATAGGAAAAGGAAGCATCATCCCTTTTTTTGATTGGCACAGACCCTGTGATGTAGATGGAGATCTTAAAAGGCATTGATAGAACATTCCAGCTCCACTACATAATGCTCACCAGCAAATTGAAGCACTTAATTCTGGTAAGCTATATAACACCACCTCTTCTAAATCCAGTCGTCAGATCCATGTTCATTTTGTTACAGTTAAAAAAAAAATTACAACCACATTTGTGAATGTCACGTTTATTGAACTACATAATTTTTAATATCACTTGTGTAGGTTTTATAGTTTATTTTATTGTTTTAAAAGTCATTTGGGGCTCTAAAAGAACTAGGTTTTTCCGAAGTTGTCCTTATAATTTTTTTTCACACAGTCAGAACTAATAAAACAAAACTGTTGTAGCTATTTAATTCAAAATCTCTTGGAGTTTCAATATTTTTTCTCTGCTGGATACTAAAACCAATAAAGCTACATGAGATTTTAATTATATTCTGAATTAAACAAGACTCTCTCCAAAAATTTGGCACCATTTATTTTAGTCACTGCTGTTATAAAAGAGACCAACCTTTGTAGGAAGAGAAGGTGGGTCTCACCTCTAATTTATCTAGTAAGAACTTTGGTAATTGTTTCGCAACTTCCTTTTTTTTTTTTTTTTAAGATAAGCAGTATGTTTATTAAATGCATTAGACAAATAAACTTTACAAATAGACAAATCAAGTTATTTTCAATAATTAAATACACATAGAGGTAAAACTTCAAATTAGCTAAAGCTTGAAAGCATCAGGACACCTGGGTGGCTCAGTCAGTTAAGCGTTTGCCTTGGGCTCAGGTCATGATCCCAGGTGCTGGGATCGAGCCCGGTGTCTTCAGGTTCCCTGCTCAGCTGGGAGCCTGCTTCTCCCTCTCCCTCTACCCGCCCCCCACTTGTGCTCTCTACCTCTCTCTTGTCTCTCTCTAATAAATAAAATCTTTTTAAAAAAAATTTTCGGGCGCCTGGGTGGCTCAGTCGGTTGAGCGACTACCTTCGGCTCAGGTCATGATCCCAGGGTCCTGGGATCGAGTCCCACATCGGGCTCCCTGCTCTGCGGGGAGCCTGCTTCTCCCTCTCCCACTCCCCCTGCTTGTGTTCCCTCTCTCGCTGTGTCTCTCTCTGTCAAATAAATAAATAAAATCTTAAAAAAAAAAAAATTTTTCATCACAAGAAAAAAAAAATTTTTTACTATTTTGATCTACTTTATTTTTTTAATTATGTTCTGTTAATCACCATACATTACATCATTAGTTTTTGATGTAGTGTTCCATGATTCATTGTTTGCGTATAACACCCAGTGCTCCATGCAGTACATGCCCTCTTTAATACCCATCACCAGGCTAACCCATCCTCCCACCCCCTCCCCTCTAGTACCCTCAGTTTGTTTCTCAGAGTCCATTGTCTCTCATGGTTTGTCTCTCCCTCCGATTTCCCCCCCCTTCATTCTTCCCCTCCTGCTATCTTCTTCTTTTTTTTTTTAACATATAATGTATTATTTGT